GCTGGAAGTTATTGGAGAAGGCACACAGACCAAATCCAAGAAAGGAAGCATGATGAAAATMATAGCGACCCTCAACCAAGACCAGCAGAAGATGTCTGCCCAGCAGAAGTAGAACAGCCATCAGTCAGCACAACCCAGACAAGCAAGACAGCTACCCCCGCTAAGAGCAACATGGCGCAAGAAACAAGGCAAAGGACATCGATACCCAACAAGGCACAGAAGCCCACCAAAACGTTATATGTATGAACAATATTAGGACAGTCATAAGAGATGAACATTCGGAGACATTATTATTGAGTTAATTAATTTACTAAGAAGGGAGGAAATGTTAGATTTGCATTGATTGACATGTAATTATATATGACGATCGTAGAATAATAAACATAAATACACCACAACTTTATTTTACTCTTTGGTGGTATCCGCGGTATCCGTGGTGTAATGAAAACAGAACATTGTTAACGCGACGATTGAAAAAGTTCAGTTCGGTGATCTGTATCAAAACACCTTAAAATTGTATTCTTTTTTAGTAGAATTAACACCTCTTAAAAGCGAAAAGTTATTATCATTAATAAACAGTCCCCCAAAAATAATCTTACCTGAAGGATCTTCAAATGTTATAACGACAGACGAACGGTGTTCATTGTCAAGATTATCAAAGTTCACAACTTCGCCTCCGCCATTAATTCCCTTTTGAAAGTGAATAACAACATCTTTAGGAGAAACATTTTCAGGCACGTCCGTGACTAATATACTCCTCTTAGCTTCCTCTTCGTCCAGTTCGACTTCAAAGAAAGATGGGACGTCCATTTTAACCTTTCAAAACAGTCTTCAAATTGTCTTGTTTGTTCGGCCGTTTGCCTAAAGTCAAAACACATAAATCGTATGCATATTACAGTCAAACTACCTCAAGCGTGAATACGTAGAGGTCATTAATGACTTTATTTTGGGTTCTTGATTTCATTATTCGATTCGAAGATTCATTAATGAAAACGAATCTTCAATATTCAAAAAATAATAATAATTTGAAAATTCGATTTACTTGGCTCAGTAGGCTCTTGTTTATAGCGCAAACAGAAGGTAAGTCATTAATATTACATATTCCTTGCACAAAAAGTTGTTTTTGCATTTTCAGTTGCATATATGCTTGGCTTTTGTATATGCCAG